GGCTGCAATGTCGCAGTGCATCAAGGTGAGTAGGCAGGCGGGTGCCAGCTCACCCGCTCTGGCCTCCAGCCGCGCTACTTCCTTCTTGGTGCTCCCGGTCCTGTTCCCGCGGGCCTCCTTCCACCCCCTTCCCCGCCCTTGGCCGTTTTTCTCCCCTTCTTCTCTCCCTCCCTCCTCCCAGCTCCTTCTCGTCACCCGTGAAGCCTGTTTTCTTGTTTCTGGGGCCACGTGCTTTCTGGTCTGACCTGTCCTGTCATCCTCTACCCTTCCAGTCTGTCTGTCTCTTCCCTCGTGTGAGACTGCCTATATTATGACTTCCTATATTATGGGTATGAAAAAGGAAGTGTCTATGCTGTGTCTGTACTTCCCAGGCCACCTTTGCACCCTGTTAACAATCTCAACAGCAGCAGTCCAAAGACTACCTAAAACTCCTTTCCTTCTATGTGGAACTTGCTGCTAATTTCTCTTCTGGCAATTGTTGCTGTATTTCTTTCTTCCTGTACTCGATGCCTGTTGTCCCTGCCTTTCCCAAGTTAAAAAAAATTACTTGAGGGGCAGCTGGTAGAAGGGTTTAGGACTGGAAGAGAGCGGTGTGTAGGAAAGAGTTAGCTGTCATGTGATTTCTTCCTCTGCCTGCCTTTCCTTGAATGTCATTTGGCTGATGTTTCCTGGTAGATGAAGAGACTTCCTGTTGTGGTTCTGCAGGGGGAGGGTGCTAGTCGGAATGGCTGATGCTGGATTTGTTTGGATTAGTGGAGGCTGGTTGGTTGGTTTCCAGCTCAGCTCAGGAGCTGGCATGTTCCCTCTATGTGTGATTGTTTTGTTTCTGTCAGTGGGTTGACCCTTCTTGTGAGAGCAGAGGGAGAGACTGGATTCTGCTGCTTACGTTGTAAGAAAGGAAGTTGTGATGACTTTTGCTTTATGGTAGCAGAAATCAGAAATAAGGTGGTAGTTTCTCTGTATCGACTCCCAGGCAGTTGTATGAACTCTGTAGCTGGCTCTTTGACTGCTAAGTGGTGAACGAATTGGAGGAGACAGAGAGTCCTAAATCCAGTTTGTTAGTCTGAATGCCTAGTGCACGTGAAAATACTACTACCGCGTGTCTCATGCTTGGTCTTAAATTGTGTTGAAGATGATATAGTAACTGTTTGTTTTAGGTATATGCTCCTTTGTAAGCTGACAAGAAATAATGATAAATAGTAATAATGTAAGGAGATCTGAAAAAGAATTCAGTTATTCTTCTTAATGCTGGATTGAACGCAGAGGGGAGCTGACAGCATCTGTGAAATTAGTCTGGTTTTCTGTTGTCTTAAGAGCTGAGTAATGTTAACCAGTAAATTAACTCTGCTTTTGTGGAATCTTAGGATCGTGAAAAAGAACACTAAAATGTGAATACTTTTAGAAGTCATACCTGAACTAGCTATTACTTTTGTATTATCTTGGGCATCTTCCTTTGCATCCAGAGCCTTGCTAATATTTGCAGTGAAGGAATTTGATGATAGCAGCAGTTGGAGCTGAAATAGTGGGAACAACAAAAGTCAGTTTTAGGAAGTATTCCTAATATAGAGACACACTTCAGTAAACTGGGTGTAAGAATATCAAACTTTTTTTTTTTTTTTTTTTTTTAAGGTGTCTGCATTTGAATTTGAATCTGTCAGGAGGTGTGCAAAGTACTGCTGCTTCTAAATCTGCTGTGTAGAGGTCTTGAGAAAAGAAGAACTCTATGTTTTGATTTACTATGTCATTAATGTTTTATGCTTTGGATTTGATGCATCATGTGAAGGTGGTAGAGGAAGTGTGTCCACTCTTTTTGTAGTCTTTCTGTAGTAAAAGTAGTAGTCCTCATGGTTAAAGCTGGTAGTCCTTATTTGAAGTTCAGACAGCAATATTAACCCATGAGACTTTGTTATTATAATTATTTTAAGTTTAGAGGAAACTTCTTTTCAAGTGTTAAGTCATTGGCAAGTTATGGAGGACAAAATCCCTTCATACATTTGAAGAAGCTTTGCAATAGTAGTGGAAGTATAAACCAAAAGAAGTCCTGGAACTCAATAAACAATATCCCAGTGTATCAGAGCACAAACCTGTGGTGGACTTCTTTAGGCTTAGGTGCACTCCATTAAGTTTGCAGATATAAAGGTATTTCACTTCAACTTTGGTTTTGCCCAACTCATGTTGCCTTTGAGTCTACTTGCCAGCCCTGTCTCTGAGTTGCATTCTGTAATTAGTTTCTACTCTGCACTGTTTCTTACTAATTTAAACATGTGATTGCACATTTAAAGTCTCTTCCTTAATTTCTAAAGAGGAATTCAAAGTCCCCCTCATCTGCGGTTAATGTAGATGCAACAAAAACAAGATATTTTTTCTCATGTTAAAGAACTTTATCATACAGTAGAAAGGGCTTATCAAGATAGCTTGGTCTGTCAGTATATGGATAATGTATTTGAAAATCTGACAACTGATCTTAATATGACTACGTGTATGTATATAAAGGAAATTATTTCATTGACTTTCCTCCATAGGAGGAAAGGTGTATTAGCCAGACATTTTTTAATACTGCTATTGTATCACTGGGTGGTTTTTTTTTTTTCAGGTTAGCATAAAACCAATAGTATTTTTGTATATATAATAGAAGATACTACTTTAAGAAGTTTATTTAACAAACTTTGCATAAATTTTTAAGTGGAAGCTTGTTGTACTTAATTTTCAGTACCATTGTGATAGGACTTCATGTGCAATGTACAGATGTCAATTTGAGTTATTAAAATGATGTAAGATCAACTAATACTAAGCTTTTTTTATAACATTCATATTAGTAGTACTGTAGTGCTTCTTATGTTTGATGAAATATCTTGTCTTGTTCAAAACAGCTTGCTATGGAATTGTTCAAGTACCCACTGGACCTTGGTTTTGCAGGAAGTGTGAATCTCAGGAAAGAGCAGCCAGAGTGGTATGTGCTTTGTTTCTTAAGTAATGCTAGTTATAATGCTTGTGTGGATAATATTTACCCAAGTATCCCAGTAATAGTAGAAAATAGCTTAGCGTTCTGTCATAATTTCATCTAGATGCTATGCAGAAACACCTGCTTTTTTTTTTTTTTTTTTTTTTTTTTTTTTTTTTTTTTTTTTTTTTAAAGTGGAAATATGTAACTGTCTTAAGTATTTTGACAATTTCTGTGGTGTGTGTATTTTGGGTTTTAGGGTTTTTTAATGTTTTTTCTTCCCCCCAACCATTTCAAAGATTATTTTCTTCTTTTCTATGGTGTGGGTTCTGTGTAATTTTGTCAGCTTAATACTTATATAGTTAGGTATGGGGAGGAAATAGAATCTGTGTTCAATTTTCTTTTACAGCAACTTCAGATTGCCAGTCGAAAGCTTCAGTCTAGGACCACTTAACCAATAAGTTCTTAATTTCAGAATCTAATGCTTACTTGGAATGTGATACTTCTAATTGAAGAAACATTTTCTTTCTCTGTCTTTTCAATTTTTTTTATGGTAAATATTTGGGATTCAGATAATCCTTCTGAACAACAACAAAAAAACGCCAGCACTTTTTTTTTTTTTCTTGATTACATGAAGGTGTTTTTTGAGCAGGCTTGTATGTTATTAGATCAAGCTGCATGACACCAGGCATTTTTAGAAAAAGATGATTGCATTTCTCACTACTTGGCACTTTTTACTTTGTGTTCCAGCAAAAGAAAAAGTGAGAGCATTTAGAAGGACTAAGCTGTTCCTTTGCCTCTGAAAACATTTCTCATACAAGACCTGGAAGGGAAGGTGGTGCAGCATCTTAGGGCAGTATGTAAACGATGTCTGACTTTCACATCTAAGGACAAATGGAGAGCCTGAAACCAAATTTTCAGTAACTGTCAGTGACTGGCAGAGTGTTTACATGAGCGGTTTGCTGTACCTATTTCCTTTTCTAACATAAAGTACTATAAAAATGGTAGGATGACTTAATGTTGTGTGACTTTTTGGCTCAGGACTGAAGAATCTTGTTCCTCTACTTTTTCCCAGCTTGACACTAACGTTTTCATAATGCCCTAGTAACCTAGACTTTATTACTCCTTCCAAAGCAGACCTGTTGGTGGGAGGAAGAACAGATAGATTTCTGTGTGCTCTCCAAATATTTGTCAACAGAAAATCAAAACTGCGGCCCTTTCTAAAGAAAGGCTGTTTCTTTCTTTTTGTGGGAAGACCATCAGCAACGTAAAGTTTTTAAGAATAGCATTTTGTAATGTTGCTGAGTTTGATATATGCAGGTTGATAGCAAAGTTAAAGAAGGGGAAAAGAGAGATGGTGGCTTGAAGGAGAATTTTTCTGCTGCATGATAGGGAATTCTTATCAGGATTTAGGATATAGTTATTCCTGGCTTCTCCTGACACAAGGAATGAAGGAGAACTGTACTGACTTCTGAAACAATGCCTCACTGCAGTCTGATTATTTCTTGAGTTTACCAAAGAGAATAGCTTTGACAGGTATTATACTGCTTTTCTTCGCTGTTGGAAGTTAAGAAGGTATAGTGATGAACTTAACTGAATTCTGTGCCTGGTGTTGTATTCTATTCTTGTTTCCACCTAATGGGGTTTGTTTATGGTACAGTTCAACAAGTTGATTACCGATCTTGTTTCAAAAAAAAAAAAAAGTCTTTTCCATTTGTAATATAGCGCAGGTTTAAATGGTTCTTGGGTGAAACTAATTGCATGTGAGGTGGAACAGACTGGTAACAGTTGAAGCTTTAAAAAGGTTAGTGAGTTAGAAACATGGTAGCTGTCTCTGAGGTGTCTTGGAGAAACCCTTAATATTCAAAAACTAAATTGAAGCTCTGACTTCAGTATGGAAACTGTAACTTTATTGTAACCTGTTTGGAAAAACAGACTTCTTTATCATCACTGTAGGAGACTGAAGCTTAGTTTTTCTATTGGCCTTTTTGTTTAGAAACAAAACCAGAATTAAATTAGCTGTATTACATTAAACATGCTTCTACTTACTCACTTTTAATCTTTAAAAAGACCTGAGTCTTGCACTCAAGGCATATTTTTCCCTGCTGATGCTATTGGTGGTATGTGGTTTTGGGGTGTGGTGGGGGTTTTTTTTGTTTTGTTTTGGTTTTTTTTTTTGTTTGTTTTGTTTTTTTTTTAAGCTGTATTTACCAGGCAAATAAATCCATTCTGGTAAGAGACCAGGGTTAATTGCTTGCACTGAAGTTAGTCTTGCTTTAACAACTGAAAGAAACAGACTAACTTGAGAGCATGCAACTCAAGTAGGTAGGTCACCAGAGCGCTTTGCTTAACAGCAGGGTAGAGCAGTTGGCTTCCCGTATACTTTTAGCTGTTATACACTGATGTCTACTGTGTTCCCTCTTTTTTTGTGTGCTGCCACTAAGCTGGTACATACTGCTTGTCAGTGAAAGTGGTGGATGATTATTTTTTCTTTCAGCCACACAAGCCTCCTGCATTTTTGATAGTGAGGATAGTGAGGTGATAGCCAGTGACTTGGGTTTTGAACTATTAGTTGGAAAGCACAGTTCCATACCTGACAAGTCATACTGAGTCTTGGCTCTAGCGGGGTCATGTTTTTGTGTGTCTAAGAGAAACTGTGTTTTTTGTAAACCTGAACTGTTTGGATAATGGACATACTGAGGTGTCTGGTAATTATTTGACTTACTTTATAATCATGCATATGATACATAAATGATAATAAATAGCAGGTTGTAATCCCAGTATGCACTTTTTACAATCGCTGTGTAAGTTTTTAACTACTGCTTGGAAAGTCTTAGTTCTCCCCAAATCAGCTAATTTATTTTAGCTGACCTGTGGTGATCTTGGAATGTGAATCTCTTGAAGATGGGTGGCAACTGCTCCCAGCTTTGCCTGTGTCAGCACCAGCTGTTATTACCCTATGTAGTGGGCCCTTTTGATGGCTTCACATGCACCTGAACTTCTGAATGAAAAAGCAGGGCAGATACACGTTGACATAGGAAAAAAGTAATATTAGGGCCAGTGTGAGGATGTATATATATGCAGTGGTATGTAAGGGACTTTGGGTCCTGGCTTGGGAAATTGGATGGTGCATGTATGTTGTTCAGGGGCTGATAGTACTAGTATCCAAAGAGAGACTAGAGAAGCTAAGTTTAGGAATTGCAGCACAACTGTTGTTCAAAAAGGATGATGGGGAAAAAAATGTCTATTATGTGCCAAACATCTTTCTTGATGATCTTATTTTAAGAATGATTTAATACAGTATATAGTTGGGATATAAATAGACAATGTCTTTACGGTTTACTACAAGCTACTACTATTCATGCTTATCATGAGGGAGCTGGAATAATCCACATGATAGAGATACCAGGCAGCACAGAGGCATCCAACATTTGCACACACATTTAGCTTGGTCAGGCTTATTAGCTAGGTGTAGATGCTGGTCTATGTGAATCCAACTCGATTCAGAGAGACCAGGAGATCTCAGTACTGAACTTCAGTGTTATGAATTCCAGGAAGTTTTACTACCTCAAGCACAGCTCAGCTTGTACATGTGAGGTCAGATTGCTTATGGCATTGCAAGTGAATTAATATGCTGTTGATCCGTTTCACTGGAATATGTATACTGTAATCCTGTCATTGCATCTGGAAGAATCAGTTTAGACTTGGTACAAATTACTTTAACGTCATAAAGGTGATGTTTTTTCCACTTGGCATTTCTGTGTTAGGTTTTTTTTTTTTTGATGGGGTGGCTTATGAAGTTGAATGCAGTACTGGCCCAGAACTGAGTCGGCACATTTGTGCAACACTACAGCTGGTCTAATAAGCCACCTGGATTTTAGTCCTGAGGAACGTGTTGAGGGGGCTGTGACTCCCTGTGGAGCTAGCCACATAAGATTTGAGATAGTATTCATCTGGATCTCAGCTGAATCTAGCATAACTGGAGTCTCTGTGCTTGCACATGTGTTTCCTGGAACTCGGTGTGGAGACAAAAAGACTGTCATTGCAGAGTCAGTTTAGATCATACAGTGCTTAATACCTAAGGCTTCAGAGCTGTAGAAATGCAGCTATACTGTTTACCTCCAAAGCCAGTTCAGGTACATTGTGCTCCCATAGTGATAGGTTCCTGTGTGTAATCCTGCCAGACCTGAGCTGCTCCTGCATCTGCTGCACAGATGATCCACAGTCTGAATGCTTGAGTTTTTTTTTTTTTTTAAATCTTTAATATAACAATGGTTGTAGTTCTCCTCCAAGTTCCTTTTTAAAAAAAATCTTTCATCACATGCATCTACAAGTTTGTTATTGTAGAGTTGCTCATAAGAGTTGTATCATGTATCCATAGTTTTAACACCCCACCCCCAGCGTTTATGTAGTATAGAACAACCATAGGTGTAGTATTACTTGCCTTTTGCCTAGACAGAAGGAGGCAAGGAAGGAGGAAATAGGAATGTAGGCTGTCGATATGCAGATGGGTTTGTGATCAGAGCTCTGACAGCTCTGGCTCAACAGGCTGCCTCCAGGGGAATGGGATCTCTGTGCTTAGAATCAATTTTGCTGTGGTTATTACATCTGTATCTGTAAACTAGAATGCACACTGATAAATGCAGTCACAATAGAGGTGAACTAAACTTAATTTTGGAAGAAGAAAACTTGCTGTTTTCTTTTTTCCTTCAGTTTGAAATACTGTCCACCAAATTATTGAGGATTGATACTCTGCCTTCTCTTTGAAGGTATTTCTTGAAATAATTCTTGAAGAAATTTTGAAATAAATGATTTTTTAATGTGTATCCATAATTTTCATTAAAGTACATTTTATATAAGGGTATTACTACAACTACTTTTAAGAATACTTTAACAAGGGGTAGAAAAATTGCTTTAGTTTTGAGCATACAACAGAAAAACTGACCTACATGCTTTTGTTATTTATGTGGATTTTAGACAGCAGTGGAGTAGTAAACTTATTTATAAGA